ATTTTTTTTCCGTTTGTTTTTTTGTTAGTTGGTATCGTGACTTATGTATGAAGCAACCAAAAGACAATATAAACGATGAAGAATCATCTTGGAAACCGGGTCCACAATTAATTTCTACTAAAATGCGTATTGTTCCAAAGTTATTACGTCTTACGTGGCTTGGCTATCCTTTGCATTATGATGAAAAACATGGATGGGGATATTTAGTACCAGGTTCAGAAACCAATGAAGAAGAAGAAGAAGAAGAAAGAGAAAAAAGTGATTTTCCTTATGAGTAAGTATGCATGCTAAATTTGAATAGAATATTTTATTCTTTCTCAAGAGCAATCAAACAAGTATGTACCGAAACAAAACCATTTGAACGTAGTAAAACAAATATGGAATTACAAGAAATCGATGATAATTTAAAAGTATTAGCAAAACAAATTGAAGAACTTGAAGGTAAAAGCGGAACTCAACTTTTTATGGAAAAACTTTTACAAGAACAAGAAAAATTGATTGAAAAAGTATATTAAATATTTATTATTTCCTCTTAATACATATATATTTTTTCTCTATAGCGTCAAAAAATTCTTCCACGTGGTACATCTTGTCCTATTCATTTAGGCAATGGACCTTATGAAGTACCGAATGTACCTGGTTGTATGTTTTTTAAAATACCACATAAAGTAAATAAAAAGAAAGCAAAAATAAGATATGGATGCCAAAAAAGTTTGATTATATAGGATGGCAATGAAAAAAATGTTGGTAATCCATTAGCCAAAGCATTTGCTTCAAAAATTGCCGATGGAACATTACGTGCTCATGAATCAACAGCTGCTAAATGGCTTCTTGAATGGAGTAAAATGTTAAGTTATTGGGAAAACAATGAAAAGAGAATCAAGTAAACTCTTAGGAAAAATTTAAAAAAAAAAGAGCAAAAAACTATTTTTTAATTTATTCGATAAGATCTCAAATGGCTGTACAAATAAAAGATGATGGTACATCTATTATTTTACCTCGTGTTGTTGTTGCTGGTACGGTTACACGACGAGCTGTTGAACCAACATGGTTAACAGCATCGAATGCTCAAGTAAAACAATTGATTATGTTTTAATTTTATTTAAAATAAAGGCTTTATTTATTTGTTTCATTTTAGACTGATCGGATTGGAAGTGAACTTAAAGCTATGGTACAAACACCACCAGATTATTGTTTTGTTGGTGCAGATGTTGATAGTCAAGAATTATGGATTGCTTCAATTCTTGCTGATTCAAAATATGCTGAAATACATGGTAGATTTATGAACAAATATATTTAAATTTTGAAAAAGAATTACTTTTTTTTTGTAAAATTAGGTTCGACAGCATTTGGTTGGATGAATTTACAAGGAAAGAAGAAAGATGGAACTGATCTCCATAGTAAAGTAGCTAATTTAGTTGGTATTAGTCGAGAACAAGCAAAAGTCAGTAAATATAATCATGAAACAGATATTTTATGATTGATTGATTGTTTTATTAAGGTATTTAATTATGGACGAATGTATGGAGCAGGAAAAGCTTTTGCCGAAAAATTATTGATGCAATTCAATCATCACTTATCAGTTGATGAAGCAAAAGAAAAAGCAAATCTGATGTATTCTAAAACAAAAGGGATCAAGTATGAAAGACATTTCTTTCTGTTTTTTTTTCCTTTTTGAGATGACGAAAAATTGTTTTTAGAGATCGAAAAACTGGTTTATGGCAAGGTGGTTCAGAGTCTGAAATGTTCAATAGTCTTGAAGTAATTGCTCGTAGTGAATCACCAAAAACACCTGTACTTAATTGTCACATTAGTCGAGCACTTGAACCACGCAATGTTACTGATGCTGTAAGAAAAAAATAGTTTTATTAAATCTAGTTAGATTTGATTACAAGTACATTTTGTTAGTATATGACAAGTCGTATTAATTGGGTTGTACAAAGTTCAGCTGTTGATTATCTTCATTTGATGCTTGTTTGTATGAAGTGGCTTATCGATAAATACAATATACGTTGTCGATTTGCTTTGAGTAAAAGAAATATTTTATACTTTGTTTTTTTCATATTTTTATTTGACACTAAGGTATTCATGATGAAGTTCGCTATATGTGTCATACTGATGATCGGTAAACAAAACGAGTTAGAATTAATTTAAAAAAAAAAAAAGATTTTTACGTTTGTTTCTAGATATCGAGCTTGTCTTGCATTACAAATCACTAATTTATTGACTCGTGCCATGTTTTCAAGTCGTTTAAATATGAATGATTTGCCAGCTGTAAGCTAATTTTTAAATATTTAGACGAATCTTTATTGTTTAGTATGTTTTAGTCGGTTGCTTTTTTCAGTTCGGTTGATATTGACCGATGTTTAAGAAAAGAGCCATATATGGATTGTAAGACACCCAGTAATCCATTAGGTCTTGAAATTGCATACAGTATTGCAAAAGGTATTATTTTCTTTTCTTTTTCACTTAATAATTCTCAGAAATAATTATTGAACAAATAGGTGAATCATTAACAATCACTGATATTATCAAACTAACACATGGTCAATTACAGCAGGAAGAAACTTCAACTATTGACAATAAATAGTAATTGTGTCGTTGATAACTTTTCTTTTTGTATTAAAATAAAAACACATTTCAAATAAGAGATTTCGTTCTATAACTAATCGATCTTCAACAATAACTTCGATAGCAGTATAAAAAGTTCAATCGTATTCAAGATTTTCAACCAAAGCACATTTATAATTATTTAGACAACACAATTTGAATAAGTAAATTGACAATGAAAACATTCTAGAGTGTATATATGTGTGGATCAAGTCTATACCTACAACTATGCCTACACACACACACACACATATTTATCCTCTCTTGTCCTCGTTATCAAGGTTAAATTATTATTGGATCTCTAAAAGATAATTTAAACATTGTAAGCATATGCCTTTCGTGAAAATCTGTACTGTTGATCGATATATAATATTAATATTAGAAGCTCACTTCTAGGAATATGCACGATATAGTTTACAGGAAAGTATTATAGAATCATGTTTCCATAATCATTTTTCTTTTAATCTCTCAAATTGAACAACAAAATTAAATTCAAAAACTCAAATCTGAGAGTTTTAACATTGGTGCATATCTAGTGAAAACACCATTGTAATGTGATCTTATGACTTGCGTTGAACTTATCTTTTTTGAAAATAAAATATATAAGTGAATGTATCGTCTCCTTTAATTCATTATTATCATATTTTCTTTTTCCTATGTTTTCATGGAATTCAAATATCATCTGACTAAATGCTTTCCACTTGGATTCGAATTTTTTGCCACACTTTATATTTGTCAAACCACATAGTATGGAGAAGAGTATTCATGTTATAAGTTCTATGTTAGACGATAAGAAAAACAATATTTCGCTTCTTTAATGCATGAGAAAGTCATTACTAAAAATGCATTTTTTATAGACTTCTTTTAGCTTTATAAAGTTCTATCGATGAACGTAGATAAAAGTTAGCAGCAGATTCGAATTTGTTTGGAAAATATTCGCCAACAGATTTGTATTGAAAAATATTAGTTGTATCAAATAGAGCATCGAATATACAGACAAATACATATCTTTCAAAATATTTTCATGGTACAAATCGTTAATATGAAAACTACAAAAAACAATTTCTTAAGCACAGTTTTTATGACAAAATTCAATATTTCAGCCAAATATTTGTTGGAAGAATTGTATTCGCTGCAAAAATGATTGCCTAAGATAGAACACATTGAGATCTATCGATTGATGTCAAACATAACTCTGTTTACCAACAGGATTGATCTCTAGTCGGTTAAAGACTGCTTAGAGACAAAATTTGAGTTCATTTTACGGCCAAATATTCTTTTCAAGAGAGTTATGTCAACAGTGAAAATAATTGGGTGTCAGTGTAAGTCTTCTTGTCATTCAAAGCCATCTTTGAAAATTGAATTGATTGACAACTTCTAAGATCTAACGAATAATATTCTTCAATGAAATATTCGTGAGCTCCAATTCCATTTTGAAAGCATTCACTCTGACTTCAATCACATTTTAAAAATAACGAAACTGCAATGCGTATGTTTATGATGACAGTATAATCTCGATTACTCTGCAAAAATGAATTTTACTATTCGAATTTTATTTAATGAATCGGTAAGTTTCATTATAACATAATGTTTTCAATTTTTCAGAGTTACTGTTCCTCATATGATTTGTATGGTCTGAGCGCTTCATGGTGTCGTCGACATTGATTAAAAGCAAAGGAAAAAAACATGCAAAAATCAGATAGTAGTCCTAGTTAACTTAAACCATACCCTCACATTAATTTATACACATAGCTTCACACATTGCTGGGTGATGACATGGCTAAAATGAATAGCTAATCAGAAATTCGATATGCCTATAGGCGATCGTTTCATTATGCAATTAGGATACTCTCGCTGACAAAACAAAGTTGTTTCTTCGATGCCATGGCTATTCTTGTAGTGCATTATCCAATTAACTATGTTTTGTTTGCTTACTCGACAATCAATCCTTAGAAAAAGCAGTTGCTGTGGAGAGAAAAAAATATTTTTCTGTCATGCATATCGATTTTTGTGTATAGTGACAGAAAAAAAGAAATCCTTTAAGCCTCACTTCGATGAAATGAACTTTGGACCGTTGTTTTTCATGATGAATGAAAGGTAGCATAGATTACTTGAAAGAAAAATAGAGAAAGCTAATTAAATTCACCGACTGACGGATGAAGTCGTAAAAATGGCACAAGTTTGTTCGAGAAGCCTCACCTCAATCCAGCAACCAACTTTGCCGTTGAAAAAAAATAAGAAAAAAATATGCACTATTTCGATTAGTCGTGGGCGATAAATTATACACAACATTGGTTGTCAACTTGAAAAACAAAGTATAAAAAAGCTGATTTGTTGCATTAAGATCAGAACATCGTCTACGATTAAATCGGTAGCTGAATAATATAGCCATGCGTTCTCTTATTGCTGTTTCTCTGGTAAGAATCATTTCTTTTTTTTATTATTATTCAACTTTTTCTTCTATTCTTGTCGTGATTTTTCAACCATTTAGTTGGCTCTAATCGTGGCAGTGATTTCAGCGCCAACCCAAAACAAAAATATTCGTCGTAGACAAACTAATCTAGGTCAACAACCACCACCACCACCAAAGGGTCCACTACCAAGTGGTTCTTCATCAAGTCGTCCTCCATCAAGTGGTGGTTCTCCACCAAGTGGTTCTCCACCAAGTGGTTCCCCTCCAAGTGGTTCTCCACCAAGTGGTCCTCCACCAAGTGGTCCTCCGCCAAGTGGTCCTCCACCAAGTGGTCCTCCACCAAGTGGTCCTCCACCAAGCAGCTCTTCACGTGCTCCATCTTGATCTGGCGATGCTTCTCAGTCTAAATACCCAGAATTCAGAACATTTATCAGAACTTATCTTATTTATGTAACCCACAGTGAAATTCATCCTAATTTCTAAAAAAAATTACCCTTCTCTAGAGTTTGTTCTTGTTCTGAACACAAGGTTGAAAATCAAGGCAATAATTTGTATTATTTCTTGTGTATGGAGACGAGAAAGTAGTCATTGTGCAGTTTGATTTCATTATTTTAATCACAGATTTAAGGCTGTGATTACCGACAACACGAGTTAAACATCTTCAAACAAGCCTCAATTCAAAATATCATGTGGCGCAGTGATAATGTTGATCGAAGTAGCCATTAATATAACAGATTTTACCAACGTTTTTTTTCAATTTTCTTTTTACAGCAGTTCTTTAGCATGCCATGGGCGATTGTTCACAGATTTTTATTTGACAGGATGACACCTATTCATAGCTACTTACTTCTTAACATAGTTTGACTAGTAGATTGGCAACTACTCAACGATTCCTGACTACGCCACTGTTGTAAAATAACAGTTCTCACCATAGTAGCAACAATTGCATTATAGAGATCACCTGATCAATTATCTGCTTATGATGACTTTTGAGTTTTTTTTACTGTTTGTTCTGCTTGATATCTAGTCTATATAGTATTTCAAAAGTTTGTTACGAAATAAAATATAAACAACTTTTCAGCCATCTAACCGATACAATTTACATGAATTTTCATTATTTCATAGAAGATGTTCTGCAGTTTTTACTCAACGAAATTTTGTCACCAGCTGTTGTTTAAAACAATTCTGAATAACTGTCGTAGATGCAATTTCGTTGAATAAAACTTAAGAGAGTTTTCTATAAAGCAATGAAAATTTCATGAAGTCGCTTAAATCATTGAAGATTTATTTGCGTTATATTTCCGAGTAGATTTTTGAAACAGTCACGTTGTTGATCGTATTGTTTTAAAATACGAACTAACAGGCAAGAGGACAACTCTTCAGCAGGTACTTTTTTCTCAGAGTAAAGAATCTTCGCCAAACACTCTTCGCTACAAGCGAATAATGTTGATCATGTGCCTATTTAATAAAGCTTTTCAACAGTACGATATAACTTAATCGACTATTGGGAAAATAAAATTACTATCAATGTAACATATTCGACAACAGCGATCTAATCGAATCTTGTCTGTTCCATTTCTAAACATGTTCGACGACTATCAGACCATTTTGGCACAGAATATTCCTCGATTGTTTGCTACATCTTATTTGGTATTAGTGAGATTTCATTATTACAACATTCTATATGAAGACGAAAACAGTAGATGGGTGTAGCAACAAATGTATCAACAGTATAAGTGATTCATTCTAGATTTTTTTCTGAACAAGTTTGCCATTAGATTCATAGAATTAATTAAGCATTGCCATGTATTTTTCCGATGATTTTTCCTCGAAATAATTTACTTTATTTCATGTTATGATCTGTAACATTTTCACAAAGATGTGGATGGCCGGTCTTGACGACTCATATTAAGTATAGCTGCAATATACGGGACTTATTTATTCTTGATATATTGAGGTAGAAAAGGTTCGAGGAGTGAGAGTCGGTTTTCGTTATCTGGTAGAGTTCGTTGAAATCCAATTGAAACATGAATACTTTTCTAAGAAGATTCTGATAGACAAACCAGTTCAAAACTTACTGTTGGTCTGAATTTATCCAATGGGATAAAAACCGGCATTTCAAATTTTCTCTGTTGATATCAGATGTATCAAGAAACATTTTTTACCATGTGATAGAGTTGGTCGAGTTACACTTGGAGCATTTTCCTGGACGAATCGATCTTAAAAAAGGTCAAATCTAGTCTTAACATATCCTACATGTGAGCTCATAACTGTAAGTTCCGAAATAGCCTTGAGAGTTTCGATGTATTTTCAAGAGACCCTTTTTTGTGAAACTGATGATAAACACTCGATTGAAACTTAACAGGCGATATTCCTTCGATAGTCTTCTCCGTGTCCAGAGTCGAATAAATATTTCTATCTCCTTCCACAGACTTTTTTCTCATTTATGTTCTTCGATTAGTAATGTGTCGTTGAATTTTCTATAAGACAAAACGTCGCAAAGTACTGAAGATCGTCTGGCAACGAAAAGCAGTGGCTTTTTTTCAAAATGGACCGTTTAGTAGAATCATTTTCATCACCACTTTGATGTACTGATCCGCTTTGCATGCAACTTGTCTCTCGTTTAGCATATTGGACCACTTCTGGAATGAATCTCTGTTTCTTCGACTCGATAAAGTCTTCGGTGAAAATAAATATCCTTCTATTTATTATCTCCTGTCTGACAAATAAAAACTGATGCAATAAAAGAAGTATTACACCTGGTTGTGCAAAGCTGGGTCGCTTACTCGTTTTCTTCCTACAAAACTGTTGTGGCCTTGATATATAATGTCAAAAAGAAGAAACAAAAAAGAAAAAACTCTGCTGACACAAGTGCGTTTAGTTGGAAAGTATGACGATGCAGTGGGAAAGAGACTATATACACTGATGAATTCGTTAATTGCTTTTTAAACTGCGAACAAAATTTCTTTTGCACCTTGGAGAATAAATTTTCTACAGAAGAAAAAGAATTGTTACTACGAACTTACATCTCTTGATGAAATCCTTGCGGAAGGCTTTGGATGCTCGGTCAGGTAGGCAATAGTAAAGAACTGAATCCGTATTCGAATAAGAGTATTTCGTTTCATTGAAGAAAAACACAATGACAGTGAAGATCAGTACTGTACGATTCGTTGGCTGGACGATAATAGCTTTGAAGTCGCCGCTCATAAATATATTCATGCACCATCTCGTTCCATTCAAGTCTTTCAATTCTACACGATCAACATCAATGGTAGGTAACGTCAAGGGACTGTGCTCTTCAAAGGTATTGTGATTTTCATGCGAATTTTAAGTGACTAATCGAAATTTCTCTCTGGGAATCAAACGAGAATGTGAAATGCTCGAGTACAATGTTGCTTCTCAGACCCTGATACCAGAAGGCACTAGAGCAAGCGAAAGTAAGACAACTTACAGTTCTTAATGAATGAATTCTGCTATCTTCTATTAGAATCACTAAGAACCGTAACCAATGATGCTGAAACCTGTCAGACCGGTGAGTCCACGACGGTCGAAAATCGATCAGGTAGAAAAACCTTACTTGCCTCACCTATTCTAAAATGTAAACAATTTGGATTGAAAGTTTCTTTTCAGATACAGAAGAGAACAAAGACTCCCATACTATTCAAAAAGAAGCATTGGTAAACATTCTTCCATTGCTCATACAGAATGTGAAAAATGATGATGAGGATGAAAGCAAAGTGGTACACAATATCACATGTGATGCATGTGGAAGTTCTCCAGTACGAGGTGATCGTTACAAATGTTTACAATGTGATGATTTCGATCTATGTTCTGGCTGTTTTGAACGCCGCGCTGAACCCAAACAACACAAGAGCGGATATTTACTTGCTCATTTACGTTTTCCTAATAAACTATTCGGTCAAGCATTAACCAGCGAAGATATAACTCTTGAGAAACTCAAACAGCTCTATGCCAATGAAGTGCATGAATCGGTCATTTGTGATGGATGCACCAAGACGGATTTCATCGGACTACGTTTCAAATGTGACGCGTGTTCAGATTATGACTTATGCCAGCAGTGTGCCAGCAGAAGTGTCCTTACAAACTATCATAAGTCGACGCATCCACTGATTCTAAGTTCTCGCCGAGTAATTGTACGAATTCCTGTGAATGATATTGAATTAGGTGAAAAATTGGGAAGTGGCACTTTTGGTAAGTATAATCTACTTGTTGATCAGTCAGGCATGTTGCTCTATCAAAGGATCTGTTCACAAGGCTCGTTGGGTGTCGAAGAGTCTTTCCACGGCTTGTAAAGTAATCAGAGTGCCTGATTCAGAACAAATCAGTGACTTGGAAAAACGTTTTTTCAAAGAACTGGCTGCCTACATGGAACTGTCAGGTGGTTACATTCTCAAAACATACGGATATGCTATGGCTCGACAAAGCAACAAACGAATCTATATAATCATCACGGAATACATGGCACGTGGTAGTTTGGCTAGCGTACTCAAGGGAAAAGGCAAAACATCTCTGCGTCGAAAAGTCCACATAGCGAGACAAATTGCCAGTGGAATGCGAAAGATTCACGAACATCACATGATCCATCGAGATATTCGACCGGATAATATTCTGGTCAATCATAATTATAATTGCAAAATCGGTGATATGGGCATTGCTCGTGTTGTTGACCCATTCAATCAACATACTTGCATCGACTGTCAACCTTTCATGCCACCGGAATTTCATGGTAGCACGTACGACCAAAAACTGGATATTTTCACGTTTAGTTTGACCATGAATGAACTGTTCACCGAAACACCGCACTCCTTTCGCCCATTGGCCAAGGAGAAAATTGTCTTTCGAAAAGAGAGTCCGATCTTTCAAGATCTCATTACTCGATGCACAGCCGATGATCCGAAACATCGCTCAGCGGCTATTGAAATCAAAAAAATACTGGAGTTATACTCTTGTACGTTTGATGAGATCATTCTGAAGAAAAACCATGGCTATATTCTTTTGTCTACTGAAAAGAAAAATGAAGTCTTCATCAAATTCTATGAGAAAATCCATGAACGAGCAACCGAATTTATTCGAAAGAAATTTCCATCAGAATTTTTGGAAGGACCAACATCTGTGCTAGGCGTGAAAGTGAAAAATGATGCCGATACTGTACAACAAATTAATTGTCGTATTCAGTAGCTATGAAAAGATTTCATTGACTTTAATTCGTATCCAGTTGCAGTTGATTTCTCAATCAAAACTTTAAAATTGCCTATTTCCATAAAGATAGTTAGCATCATTGAGTTTTTTCATGAAACAAAAGTTCTGTTTCATATAAAATAGACTAATTTGATGAATGAGAATTAGAATATGATCATCAGTCG